CCAAATGCCACACGCTCAGGGCGAGCCATAACTAGGAGATCCGAAATTGACTTCTCTTTCTTTCGATTTGGTTTTTAAACAACAGCTCTCTGTAGTATAGGGATTGTAAATAGTCTTCATAGTGAGCATAATAACTTGAAGTAGGGTGATAATAGAGAAATATTAAAAAAGTTGAAATCTAAATATTGTTTGTTCAATTTGTTTTTTTGGGGCGGGGGGTCATCCCAAAAAATGACCGCTATAAGGGGGTGCCACGTGAAAAAAATTGGTAAGCTGAGGGGGGGTCATGCAATTTTTAGATGGTGCTTCCCAAATCCCACCAGCCCCCCCTCCCTCATAAAAAATGAACGGTCCCTTAAGAAATTTTTCATGAAAATACTTGAGGAGTGGAAGTGATAAAACATCACTTCATTCTACCTCAAATTGATTTCTTCTTTCCTAGAAAAAAGGCAGAAACCTCCACGTTTTGATTTAGCTACTCATTTTCAGATGTGTCATCAGAATGTATGAAATCGTTGTTCAGAGCTGCGTCAAAATTAAATCTCACAACTTTTAATATGTATGATTAAACTTAGGCTATGCATATAACGAGTATCACGCTCATTGCCTGGCTCATTGCCTTNGGGGGGGGGGGGGGGGGGGGGGGGGGGGGGGGGGGGGGGGGGGGGGGGGGGGGGGGGGGGGGGGGGGGGGGGGTAGAAAAAGCAAAGTTTTCGTTGTATTGCCTGAAAGAGTCAAAACAATGCATAACTTTGCAGCTGCATTGCTTCCATTGTTGAGAGTGCGTGACACTTCGAATTTACATGAGTCGCGCCACTTGAACAATGTGACAAATGTGATAAATCAGTTGTGAACATCAGACTTCAATTTGTGACTCAACTTGCAACTCAACAGCTCTCAACATCAGCAGTAATGTGAGTAAAACGAAATGCTGGAATTAAGATTTTTTTTTACACAAAGATAGTCGCAAAAATCGTCGATCACCAAGTGACGACTGGATTCGTGAGACTTCACCATGTTTTGCAAATAATACTTAACACAACAATTGAAGATTCTGATATATATCAACAACGTATTCCATAGTAAAATAAATCGTCCTAACCAGCCATTGTTATCTTTATTTCGTTAAAATTCGTAGTGTGTTGCTCATGTTTTAAGAACAAGCGACTGAAAGGGCTCAGCTTTGAATCTAATTTTAATATATATGAAACATAATATGAGACAAAATTGATATGCAAATGTAATTTTAAAACATTTTAAGTTCGAATTTATGACCATTAACGTCATTTTTAAAATGTGATTTAAAAAGAAAGGCCTGAAGCCAAAGTCAGTAGTCAAAAATCTGTAAAGATCATTTATCGTGCGAATTAATCTCTCTACTAGAATATCAAACGAGAACTATTTACATTTCAGCTCATATGATCAATTTCGACGGGGAAACTTGTATCTGGCACGGATTTCACGTCTCCTCTGTATGTCTAGTAAAACGTAATCGAGTTTTATTTTCTCCGCTTTAAATTTAGCCTTTGCGATACAAGGCAGCCGCGAAAGCACAATGCTCAGGTAGAAAAGAACACACGTATTACCTTTGTGAGGGATTGATGACAAAACTCTATTTTGAAATACATCTTTCGGTTGTTTATATTCGACGAGTTATTCGTAATTCAAAACACGGCGTTAGTTTTGCGTACTGTACACAAGATGCTATACACATACCGACTGTTTACCTCACCAAACCTTCAGTGAGTCCCTCTGTAGCGTGTAGCTGCTTTTGTCAGAGTGCTGCTCAGTGTGTCAGCTGCGGGAAGTCACGTACTGCTATCGACACTGCCAAGTTCCCAAATCGAGGCGGACTGTACGGTGTCACGCTACGGATAAGTCACGCTATTGACTTGGGTCATGCCGGAGATAAAAGAAGAGGAACCATGGCAATGAAGTTGGA